AAAAGAGATGGATGAGCTAAGAGACTATATTGACAAGAACCTAGCTAAGGGGTTCATCCAGGTCGCTAAATCCAGAGTAGCTGCTCCAATGCTGTTTAAAGAGAAGAAAGATGGCTCACTGAGATTGTGCATTGATTTCTGTGGGATAAATGGCATATGTGTGGAAAACATGCATCCCCTCCCCCTCATGAAAGACATGCTGGGCCATCTAGCAAAGGGAAAGGTGTTTACTAAGTTGGACTTGAGGGAGGCATATTACTAGGCGAGGATCAAGAAAGCCGATGAGTGGAAGACAACCTTTAACTGTCCGCTAGGTTGCTACCAGTTTAAAGTGATGCCTCTGCTATGTTTATGCAGCTGATTAATGAAGTGCTGCATGAACACCTATACAAAGGGATCCTAGCGTATTTAGATGACATCCTTATCTATTCTGAGATGATGGAAAAGCACATGAAGTTAGTGCAGCAGGTGTTGAAAAAACGTTTGGACTAAGCTATACACCAAGTTGTCAAAATGCAAATTTCATAAGACCAGCTTGGATTATCTACGGCGCTATAGGGTATTTTGCGAGGGAGTAGAGATGGACCTGTGAAAAGTGAAGTCCATTTTGGAATGGCAAGCTCCCTAGACCAGCAAACAGTTGCAAAGTTTTCTAGGGTTTGCAAATTTCTACCAGTAGTTTATCCCATACTTGGCAAAAATTGCTTGCCAATCATGGAGCTTTTGAAAATGGGCCCAGGGGGGAGGGAAACCCCAACCCAGCCAGCCATTGAATTGGACAATGGAATGTCAAACAGCATTTGAAAAGCTTAAAAGACTGTTTGCGGTGAAGCCTGTCCTAAAGCCCCCTAACCCTGAGGAGCTGTTCATGATTCAAGAATATGCCAGTGATGTCATGGTGGTGGTGGGATGCTGCTTCAAAAGAACAGAGAGGGGCATCTGCAGCCATGCATTTACACTTCCTGAAAGCTAAACAAAACTGAGAGATGATCCACAGTATGGGAAAAAGAAGCCTTTGCCATACGATGGGCACTACTGACATGGAAACAATTCCTAGAGGGAAGTAAAATCCCCTTCGAAGTCTGGACTGATCACAAAAATCTAAAGGCATTGAGGACTTCCTGAAAACTCTCCCCTAAGCAAGTTCGGTGGGCTCAATTCTTCAATAGGTTTGACTTAAAATAGGTTTGTTTTAAAATACATCCGGGGGGGGTGGAATTTCCTAGCTGATGCACTGTCCCACCTGTCCCAATACAAAAGTATCTGAGAAGAAATAGTGAATTCTATTATCCCCATGTGGCAGTTGGCGGTGCAAGTGACCACCTGGTAACATTTTCATGCAACAGATGAAGCAAGAACTGCAAACTAATGCATGGTTCAGAACCCACTAAGGAGAGCTAACATTGAGGGAAGAACTGGCCTGTAAGGGGAGCAAACTGTATGTCCCTGACAGCCCACAACTACAAGTTCTACAGAGAAGCCACGATGCTAAGCAAACTGGCCACTTTGGAGTCTTAAAAACTTTGCATTTGACTAAATGGCAATTCTGATGGCCCGGGATGAAGAAGGACATAGAAAGTTATGTGAAAAGCTGTGCTGTGTGTACGGCCATGAAGCACAGACCAGGAAGAGTCCGGGATTACTGCAGCAAGTGGCTGACCTGACTCAGCCTTGGGAAGAGATAGCCATTGACTTTATAATCGAGCTTCCAGAGAGTGGAGGAAATACAGTGATATGGACAGTGGAGGATGTGTTTTCAAAGCAAGCCCAGTTCATAGTATGCTACAGCCTCCCATCAGCCCAGAGACTGGCTAGGATGTTCCTGCAAAATATTTACCAGCTGCACAGAGTGCTTAAATGCATAATCTCAGACTGATGGGTCCAATTTACTGCCAAATTTTGGCATGAATTTGTAAAGCTGATAGGGTCCTCCCAAGGTCCTAGTTCAGCTTTTCATCCGAGTACAAAGGGGGCTGCAGAACGAGCCAATGCAATAGTGAACAATATCTGTGCTGTTATGTCAACTATCAACAATCTAATTGGGCAGAACTCCTGCCAATCACTGAAGTGGCATACAACAATGTGGTGCATAGTAGCAAGGGCTTACCCCCTTTAAGATAGCCACAGGAGTGGAGTTCATGCTGATATCAGAATGCCCAAGAGAGACTCCCTCATCAGTGACATTGATTGATTGGGAAGACTCCCTAAAAATCACATGGGGAAATGTGAAGAAAGCATTAGCCAAAGCAACAGAGAATCAAAAGAAACAAGCAGATAAGAGGTGAGCTCCCCAGGGAATGTTCCATGTAGGAGATAAAATGTATCTTTCCACCAAGTACCTAAAGTTGAGGATTCTCTGTAAAAAACTAGGTCTAAGTACATAGGGCCTTTCCTGATCATGAAAGTTATTAACCCAGTGACTATAGAATTGAAATTGCCCAGAATACTGGGTAAAGTGCACCCAGTATTTCACTGCACCCTGCTGAGGCCAGCTCAGGGATCTAAACTGAGACCAATTGGAAAAGAAGCACCTGGTCCAATAATGGTGGTGGTGGTGGGGCAGGGGAAAGACATTACAAGGTTAAGCGAATCTTAGACTCTAGAATCTATAAAGGGAAACTACAGTATCTAGTACAGTGGAGAGGTTATCCAATAGAGGAGGCGAGTTGGATCAAATCTCATAAAATTAGAACATTCATACTTCCATTCAAAGTATCCTCAAAAGCCAGGGGCTTCTTAAGTGGGAAATTGAGAAAAGAGAAATGCTCTAATATGTGTTTGCTAAAATGAAACTTTGATTTTGGGTTTTACTGATTAGATTGATTTGTTGTTATAGAAATGGCTACTTTATACTATTATGAAAAAGTAAAAGTTGAGGTTCAGTGTTAATGCTTTATTCTACTGCAACAGAGGATGCTGGAAGTAAATGTCTTTTTTTCTTTTTCTTTTTCCCTTCTTTCCCTCACTTTTCTTTCCCTTTTCCCTCCACTTTGTGTCCTACTATTTGCTTTGAATTTTGTATTTTACTCTATAATTTAATAAAATGTAATTAATATATATTAATATGTGTTTGCTGTTTTCCAGGGTCCTTGCAATTTTTAGGAGGGTCCGCCTGTCAAGTTTTAAAGCATGGATTTTTTTTTCTACTGCAACAGTTATTCATTCTCAGCTTCCCAATGCAGACTTCAAAGATTAAGGAAGCAGACCATGGGAACCAAGGACATTTACCAGGTGTCTGGGCAGACCCAGAGATACATTCTCATAATAATATTGCTGTGTTTAATTGGCCATCGTGACTTGATCCAGAGGGAGGAGAGAGAATTCTATGCTTTCACTATGTAGGGCTTGGGTTGGGTTTTGTCAGAGCTGGTTTTGTTTTCATACGTGTAAAGTTTTACATAAAGAGATTGGAATGTCTCAAAGGTGCTTGTTTGGTTGGGTTCATCAGTTGGAACCTTGACAGTATTTTTATTCTGCTATGACCACAGTTCTGCCTTAACATTTTTGTCCCCATAGTTAAGCACACATTCAAAGGCAATGCCTTTATAATCATGCTTAAGAATAAAGCCACATGGTAAGTGTTTACTAACATTTTAGATGGCAGATTTCAATGCTCACTCACAGTTGCAGGCAACAACTAGGCTACTCATCCAGCAAAATCAATGTTTTATAAATTCAATATCAACTAGGATTGCAAACACAACTGTTCCTGCTCATGGTAACATCGTGAAATTGGTCAAATCTTCTATCTGATGTGTTTGTTCTATATTGATGGATTTAAGCAAGAGATACACCATATGATTCCTGCAATAGTGTACTTCAATGGACTTATTTATTTTATTTAATTTATCAAATTTATATAATCACCCATCTAACACATATGGCTCTAGGAATCTCAATTCTTACAAAGGACTGCAAGTAACACTTTGGATAATAGTTATTTCTACAACTCTATTAACTCGGTTAATATTGGTGAAGCAGCATCTCTTAGCTTTAGGTGATATATAGCTTTCCTTGACAGACTCATGATGCATTTTCTATAAATTTAGAAATAGTTATAAGAATTTGCTTAATACTGTAGATGACAGACACAGAATTAAGATTTCCAAAAAGAAATTCTTTCTGAAAAATTTGCAACATGCTGCTGATTATAAGATTCTGCTGCTAATGATGATGAAAAATGAGTCCTCTGAATCCTTTTTTATTTATCTTATAAATGATGGCTTAGATAAGAATGACTTCAGGTAATTGTTCGGTAATACTGTTTAAAATGATGGAAATTTTATTTAATTCCTTTGATGGAATTTATTATTTGTTGAACTGCAAAAAAATGGAATCTCAAAACTTTAAGAATCATTTTCATGCTTCATTCAAAAATGCAACTCTAAAATTACTTTAAAAAAATCCATTTCCTATTCAACACTGAAAAGAACATAACAAGGAGGCTGTCAATATTCTCTGCTGTGACCCTTTATTTAGATAACCTCTCGACTCAAACATTTGCTGAGGGAATGAAATGGCATTAGAACATATCTTCTTCACAATTTTGGCAACATTTCATACATGTTGCTAGTTCAATGCCTATTCAAACATCCCCCCTAGCAGTCATGCACTCCATTAGTTATCCATAAATGACAACAACTAATTGTACCTACTCACTATAGCAGGGTTTGACCTGAGAAACTCTAAAAGTTTTGCTTAACATTATTAACACTAAGCATTTGAATCATTTCATTATTTTAAATAACGTTCTCCCTTGACCAGCAAGGGAATTGTCAGCAGAGTTTAAACCTCAGCAGCAGCTGGTAATGTTCTTAGCCAAGTTCTTGAGATATTGTCCATCTGCAGTGATATGTGGCTGGTTTCTGCCCTGGTATTTGCTTAATCTTCAGGACAGATTTCCTTGCTCTAGGAAAACTTAATTTCTGATTCGTCTAATCCAGATGCTGGCCAAAATGTTGTTTTCAATCTATACAGAGCAGTTTGTTTTCTGTTCCTTGCTAAGAGCTGGTTTCTTTGATGATAATTTTTTCTATAACAGTCATATTAATATGCTCAAAAATCCACTGTTGAGTTTCAGATAAAGGATCACATCTATTCATGAAAATCTTCTTCTCTGCTGGATTGCAATCAATGCAGCTGCCACTCACAGCATGGAATAAAGTTTTGTCCTGTGGGATGAAAATAAAAAAAATTAATGAAGAACCAAGTGCCAGATGATTAAAAATGGACATATTTTGAAACATCCAAGTCTGGTTTCTTTGAAATTTTTGTAGCAATTCTACAATGTAATTTAATACTGGAAAATATTCTCTGAAATTATTTTCAATGAATTATATGTTGTTATTTATAGCAGAGTTTCTCAAACTTTGCAACTTTTAAGCTGTATGAACCTCAACTCACAGAATGGTATTCTGAGAGTTGCAGTTCACACATCTTAAAGGTTGCCAAGTTTAAGAAACATTGATCTAGAATGGAGTGGAAAGAATAGAATATGATAATAGAATAGAACAGAACAGAATAATTTTGTTTTTACATATGACTTTCAGCAGATGGCAGACCTTAGCTGATCTTAGCAGATGCAGAAAGTTAAAAGGATCCAGCTTAGTTAATGTCTGGGAAATTTAGGGCTGTACAGTAGATTGGGAAGAAACACATCCCAGAAGAAAGTAAATGACAAACTGCTTTTCTCTCTAATGCCAAGATAAGTGCTTCTCCCCATCCCTTGTCTGTCTGTCTGTCTGTCTGTCTGTCTGTCCGTCCGTCCGTCCGTCCGTCCGTCCGTCTGTCTATCCGTCCGTCCGTCCGTCCGTCCGTCCGTCCGTCCGTCCGTCCGTCCGTCCGTCCGTCCGTCTGTCTGTCTATCTATCTATCTATCTATCTATCTATCTATCTATCTATCTATCTATCTATCTATCTATCTATCTATCTATCTATCTATCTATCTATCTATCTATCTATATCTCTGCATGCAGTGATCTAAACACAAGCAATGAATGAAATAGGAAAGACTGTTCAGTATTTATAGAGACAATTTCCTTGCTTTCAAGGATTTTAATATCAAGCCAGCACACTGAACCATTCTGCCATGTTTTGTTTAGTCCTATCTTGTGGGAAATGGCTTGCCAAAACCACCATGGCACATCAATAGCTTAATAGTGAAGCGCTGCATTTACATGACAAAGGCCTCATGTCCAGTTATTGATGAGCATAGTGACTGAATTCTGCATTCACTATAAGATGCACTGCAGGGATTGCTATAGCATGAACCCTGTCTATAATGTTAAATCAAACTAGGAAACTCACAGACTGTATTTAGGTGACAATCCTGAAATCTCATGGGATTGGCAAAGTAATGCTGTAGATAACTTTCCTTTTGTTGCATGCTGTTATTAATCTGACTGATGTCATGGAAAACGGCTGCCAATCAATGTGAAAAATATGTAATAAGTAAATGAACAAACAAACTGAGTTTGGCTTTTGTTAATGCCATTCCCAATTCCATATGAGATCCAACTGCTAAATTGTAAAATTGGAGCCAAATTGGTAACAAATCTGATGAGTAAATATTTTAATGAGATATAGCCTTAAAGACATTGTACTCAAAAAGGAAATTATGCGTATTGTAGTGACATGGAGCAGCTCTCAGAGACAGATATTCATTTTCACACCCTACAATATAATCACAGTCAGTCCAGTTCCTTGTTTTAAGCATCCATATTCTTCCAAAGCCAACTCAAGATTTGCTAGTCCTAACTGCTGATTGCCAAAATGGTAAGGCAGCTTCATTTTGAAAAGCCAAATCTAACTTTGATTTGACTGTTTCTGTATAGCATTGTTTTTTGTTATAGCAGTTTTTATTTTCTTTGACAATGCATGCATTGCTATTATTTGGTGCATTTCTTTTTTTCTTTTCTGTTATTAATTGAAAGGAAGAAAAATAAATAAAAAAGAATTTACTGTATAAGTAGTCTTCGACTTTACAACCACTTGTTTAACAATCATTGAAAGTTACACTGGCACTGAAAAAAAGTAACTTAGGGCCAGTCCTCACACTTATGACCATCACAATACCCACATAGTCACCACTAGATTTCTGGTACACATCAAAGCTGATTATTTCCTATAAAGTTGAATATGGCTCAAGTCCTTAGTTTTTATGATTTGTTCTCCAGAGAAAGGTAAAAGTAAAGGTTTCCCCTATCCAGTTGTATCTGACTCTAGCGGACAGTCCTCATCTCTTTTCTTAGCTGAGGGAGCCAGCATTGTCCAAAGACATTTCTATGGTCATGTGCCCAGCATAACTATACGCCAAGGTGCACAGAACCCTATTATCTTCCCACTGAGTGGCACTTATTTATTTACTTCATGCTTTTGAACTCCTAGGTGGGCAGGAGCTGGGGCAAGCAGTGAGAGCTCACCTCAGTTTGTAATGCTCTGTCAAGCTTTTTTAAAGCTCAGCATCTTTAACCACTGAGCCATCACAGTTTAACTATCTCTGGATGTGAGAAAGAGCCTCTCTCTAATGGCATTTGAGAAGTAGCTGAAAATCCTTCTATTTCATTAAGTCTTTTGAGGATAATATAGTGGTGTAGGCTTTTATAGATTGTACCTGTTACACAGCATTGGGCTTCAGGTTTCAGTGATCATGGCCTAGAGGCCCTAGACAACAGATTTCCTGATGTTTCACCAGCAACTGTTATTAGCATTTTTAGAGGCAAGATGGCCTATATTTAGGAAATCTATTGTCTAGACAGGGCTTTTCAACCTTTTCCCAAATTGTACCACTTTTAGGACATGACAATATTTGAGCACCACCAGTGCTTAGTAAGGTGTCAAAAACTTGATGACATAAAAAAGAGGGGGGATTTTTGGTTTTACTGATTAGATTGATTTGTTGTTACAGATAGGGCTAGTTTAAACTACCATGTTTCCCTGAAAATAAGACTTATTTTTTTTTGCCTCCAAAAGAGGCACCAGGTCTTATTTTCGGGGGATATCTTACTCACCTCTGGCGCCAACAGCCCGCCCAGCAGGTCCCCTTCTTCTGGGGCTAAAGGAGCAACTTCATTCTGCAGCTGGATTCCAGCCTGCATTTCCTACGCAACCAAGTACCAAGCAATGGATTTAATCCATAGTGTTGAGTTTTCGGTTCATTTGCAATTGATGAAGACACATGGTGACAATCAACAAGCTCTTTATTTTCTCTCTCCTACAACCAAGCAAAAAGCAAAAGGCACGCAGGCCTTTTATAGTGCCTGAAACCCGGACAGTGTGAACCAATAGGAATTTTGCCTTTTCGCGCCTTGCGCATGCGCACAAGGCTGGTGCCACTCTGTCTGGTCCCGGGAAGCTTTTGGGATTGCCCGGGACCATTTGCAACAACTCTGAGCCTGCAGTCAGCTCCTGCAGGCTCATGACACAACACCCCTCCCCCTAGATGAAACACACCAGGCTTACGCACAGGTGTATTGTGCAATGTAGGTATGATGACACAGATGCATTATTCAAATGCAAGGAGGGTGGAAATGCTCAGTCTGCATGCAGGCAGACCCCTTTCAAACTAATTCTTAATTAAAATAAACATATCCAAAATTATAATCATATATGATACTCTTGCCAAGAGTTAATTTCCTCATTCAGCGACCTCATAGCCAGGTTTCTCTCATGTTGACAGAAACCTCACATAATCTCCCAGATGTTTAGGGGGGCACTTGGCCCCTGCGACCTTCTAAGGGCCGGTGAGAGTGCCTGGCCTACCTACTCGCCTACCAGGCTAGGCAGGCCAGGACTTGGATGCGCTAAGTACCCAGGTGACCCTGGTGAGGGTGCCTGGCCTACCTGCTCACCTACCAGGCTAGGCAGGCCAGGACTTTACTGCCCCAAATACTCAGGTACCTTCCCCAGCTGCTGACTGGCTGGACCCTCTGAGTCCAAGCCAGTGCACCTTGGAGGGGTGGAAGTCCCGAGTCCACAATGGACTCCTCTTGGGAACACTGTCCCTCGAGCCCAAGGCCAGCAGGTGGAGAGGCCTGAGTGGCGGAAGTGCCCCAGTACTCCGTAGCCCCCGAGCATGTGCCAGGGGTGCAAGAGTCAGGAACTGCCTCCATGGCAAACCCCCTTGCTACTGACTTCCTTTTTGGAGCAATGGCTGAATTATGAGAGTGCCCCTGATGGAATTCCCTTTCTATGGCTGTGTGTGTGTGTGTTATGTGGATACCCCTGGTCTGTCTCCCTGTCTGGAGCACTATCTGACATGTTTGAATAATGTGGATACCCCCGGTGTGACTCCCTGTCTGGAGCAATGATGGATGTGCGGGATGATCCCCTATCCTGGGAATTCCTGCTTGGAGCACTTGCGGAATCTTGGGATGACCCCCAAACAGCCTCAGCATCTTGTGAGGCCCTGTTAGGCCTGAGAACCTGTGACCCAGAACCCCTTGGAATCTGTGACCCAGAATGCGTATTATGGTCCTCCTCCCCCATCCAGAGCAGAGCCAGGAGCGGAAACATGGCTGTCCAATCTCCAACGCCAACTGTGTTGCAGATTGTGTCTGCGAAAAACGCGACCATCATCCAAGGCAACTTCGTATGACAACGGCCCAGAGGCCTTGCAGACCACAGCTGTGACCCAGAGATGTCCAGGCCCATAGTTCCTAGCCCAAACCGGATCGCCCACCTGAAGTCTCCTAGGTGCCTGCGGTTGTGACACCTGTGAATCCACCCGGTCTGGGTGCAATCTGTCCAGTTTGGTGATGAGGCGGCGACCCCAGCGGAGTTCAGCAGGGCTCTTCCCTGTGGCTGTGCAAGGTGTGGTGTGGTGTACAAGAAGAAGATCTGCTAACCTGTGATGCCAGTTACCGTAAGTCAATTTCTTGAGGGCATCTTTGGTAGTACGCACCATTCTCTCCGCCTGTCCGTTGGAGGATGGGTGGAAGGAAGCAGAAGTCGCATGCCAGATCAAGTTGGCCTGAAGAAAAGCCTGGAACTCAGAAGAGGTAAATTGAGGGCCATTATCTGAAACCAGGACATCTGGAAGCCCGTGCGAGGCAAAAATTCCTCTCAACACCTGGATGGTCCTGGCAGTAGTAGTGGAGGAAACAGGAACAACCTCTAGCCACTTGGAATGGCTGTCAACAATGAGAAGGAAGAATTGCCCCTGAAAGGGCCC